AGAACATGATGGTAGTTTTCCTGCTGGGGTATCTAACATCTACAAGTGACAGAACTGAAAGGAAAAAAAATCCTGGGTTTATTACACTATTTTTTTTTTCTATTTCTGGATGGATTATGATTCTGGAGTGCTGCCATTTGCTTTCTTTTCACCTGTCTCTTTTCTGTCCCTCTGTCCCATCTTTTTAAGATGGGAGTGCATGGCCAATTAGAGCTAAGGAGATGAAAAATGTTATTAGAATTATTTCCATTCTTTTGACCCCTCTCCCCTCTATTGCAAACAGCCCTCATAATGTTGAGAAAGCCTGTGTGAGGTATTTTGGGAGTGTTACATTACTAACCTAAAGACTTTCAGAAAAGGAGCTTTGTGTTCTTGAAATGCACTTGAAGTGTGTTGAGCCTTTGGTTTTAATGCCCCTTGCTAGCAATATTTTGATAACATCTCTTAAATTAGAAGCTCTCTCTGGATATTTCGTTCTTTCTTTTTTTTTTTTCTTTTTTTTTTTTTTCATTTTACTCATTGTCCTATCATCATCCTCCCTGGTGATGGCAACGATAAAGAAGGTGTTGAGAAATGTTACTAAGTTCTTATGAAATACAAGTTTCTGTGTGTCATCGAAATCTCAAATTTTAAAGTAGGAGAGAACCCTTTAATTTACAGATCTGGATATGACCTAGCATTTTATGCATCATATGGTAGACAGAGGAATGGGTTCTATTCCTTGGGTTTCAGTCTATTTGGGGTACCTAATCGTGTCATTAGAAATAAAAGAGGTCAAGTGGCCATTCCCTATTTTCAAGTAGGAGCTGTCCCTTGATTACTGATTTTATATCTGGTACATAGCCTGGCTTACATGTTTGTATAATTACTACAGGTGCTATAAAAATTATTAGACCAAGTAATTGCATAACTTTAAGGCCATAATTTTGACATCAGAGAAAGAACAGGCAATCAGGCCTCGAGATTCACGGAAATTAGTATTCTTTCCATTATACCAATTTTTTTTCTGGCTATTTTTCCCAAGCACAACCGCAAAAGAAGAGCACTTGTCTCTAGACTGTCTAGTCTGTTCTGAATTTGGTTAATAACGTGGCCTGTACATATGTCATCGTCTCTCTGCAGGCCTCTGATGCAATTGTTGAATGACAGGAGGTCATATATAATTGCCGGTAGAATGGTGGGATTTCTTGATGGTAGACTTTGTTCTTTCCCTATTTCTCAGACAAGGTCTCAGGAGTTGGTCTCGAGTGATTCTTGAAGCACAACCATTTGTATTATTTATATTGCACTGGAGACAAATGTCTTTCAAGTACTTCAGAGAACAGTAGCACACTGTTAGGGCTCTAGTTGAGTTTTGTAATTCCAGTGACAGTTAGAGGCAGGTGGCAGGGGTGGATGTGGGAGGTGGAAGATGAAATGTTAACTGTGAATTTCGTGACTGTAGATATTTGGGACTGTTTTGGTTTAAGGGTTTTTTTCATGTACTTTTGTGGTATATATATGTATTACAAAAAACAAAAATATATGAGTAACTTATTAATGTGAGGTTATTCAGGAAGTATCTTTGCATGAATACTTTACGTTGCTGAAAAAAAAAGAATACATATTGTATTTGTATTTTTAAGTTCTCCTTTTATCTATAGAAAAGTAGAAAAATGTTCTATAAAATAGTCTCTAGAATTACTAAGAATATTAATCATAGCATAATGATGAGGTCTTTGTTCCAGAAGTTTGTTATCATTCAAATCTGGAAGTGGTCATATAAATTATCTAGATAAATCCATGAAGTTAGGTGAGGTAATTGAGACCTAAAAAGACTTTAAGTGGCCTCGGGTCTTGTGATGACATACCATCTAGCAGTCTGGGCTCCTGGCTTACCAGTCCACTGTTGTTTTTTTACAAAGAATAAATGTGGAAGGAGAATCTGTGTCCAAAACTTGGCAGACATTGAATGGTTTATGCAGTTTGAGTGAGAATATCATGGAATACTAGAAAGATCAGGGAATTTAGATTCAGGCCAGAACTGAATTTAACTGCTTCTTAAGTGTGACCTTGGGCAAATAACCTCTCTTCTTATTTTCGAAACACAAATGATAAGAACTACTTTTGAGGGATATTGTAAAGATTTGTGATTACGTTTTGTAAAGGACCAAATATAATGCCTGATATATAGCAGATGCTTAGTAAATGTAGCTACTGTGAAAATTTATTATTTCTGCTTTCAGCAAACAAAAATCTGGAAAAATTTCTGTTTTATCGGTAGGCACTCAGATAAATTATATTGAGTCAGCGTCGAATGAATAAATGCTTTATCTCACCAGCTACAAAATAAAACCTCTGTGTTATCTATTGAGCAAGCCATACCCTCACTTGTAAATTTTCATCATATTTCATTTTTCTCAAATATGTACTTTGGCAAAAGCTAAAATGTCTTTAATTATGAATACTATACTCAAAGTTAAGTTAGTCTAACAGCTAAGACTAGAATTCATCCATTTATAATTTATAAGAAACAGAGGGACTGGTGGAGAGGGGATGATGGGTTTGATGTCAGCAAAAGCTGAGTTTAAATATGAGTCCAGTCTGCTAGTTGCTGGTTGCATGATGTACCAATCTAATGCCAACTAAAAATCAGGTGGATCTTACAGGAGAAATTACTCTTCAGGAAGATTAGAACCTTAAAGATCTTTTGAAGACATGAGGACACACTCCTCCTATGAATATGCTGTATCCAAAAATAGTAAAGACCTTTAAAATGGAGCCAGTATTCAGATAGTACTTAGCAAAGGTGGGAAATACTTCACCTTTTCCATCTGGCAGATCAGAAATATTGGTATGGTAATTTGCCAATTTTTTTTTTTTCATTTTGGATGGCTTTACTACTATATGAATGTATCCTTAAGTCAAGGGTCTTAGGACAAAAATATAAATGATAAGATAATTTAAAGAATGGGGTTATAGAAATATATGCAGGATTCAGCATTCTGTGGGAAGAAGAGATTAATTTCCTTCATATCAATGACTGCACTATCTGCATTTCTTGTCCCCAAAGTGTCTGATTCTGTTCCCTGGGACTGTGCTGGTGAGCCGGAAATATGTTTCAAAGCAAAGACCATACTGTTCTCAAGCATGATTTTAGTTAACTGCAAGCTGCTGACAACATCAACATATTATTAGGCTGCAATATTATATATAGATATAGAGAGAAATATATATAGATATATATAGTATCCATATATATTCTCATATTCTGCATTGGTTAAACCCACTAAAAAAAATTATATTCATTCTGGACCACACTTTCAGGGGAATTGCCAATGTGGCATGCATCCAGAATAAAGATGAGCAGGAAGAAGAAAAGGCACTAAAAGCCATCTCATATGAAGAAGAGCCAAAGGAATTAGGCAGAATTTTCTTTAAAAAAATTGTAAGAGAAATATGAAAATGAATCCTTAGCTTCTGAGCATCTATACTGAGAAGGTAGTATGTGAGGCACAAAGAAATATAAGGCCCATTGTGTGGTACTTGTCCTTAAAGATACAGAAGTTAGGCGTATATATCATCTATCCAAAGAATAGATGATGCCATGAAAACAAGTAGCTCTTCCTAAATTGAAAGTACTCACAGAGTGGTGCATGGCTGGCTCAGTTGGTAGAGCATGAGATTCCTGATCATGGGGTTATAATTTTGAGCCCCATGTTGGGTATAGAGATTACTTCAAAATGAAGTTTTCTTTTTTAAGTTTATTTATGTATTTTGATAGAAAGAGTATGAGTTGGGGGGGGGGGGCAGAGAGAGAGGGAGAGAGAATCCCAAGCAGGCTTTGCACTGTCAGTGCAGAGCCCGCTGTGGGGCTCAATTCCATGAACTGTGAGATCATGACCTGAGCTGAAATCAAGAGTCAGATGCTTAACCAACAGAAACACCCAGGAGACCCAAAAATGAAATCTTAAAGAAAGAAAGAAAGAGAGAGAGAGAGAGAGAGAGAGAGAGAGGGAGGGAGGGGAAGAAAAGGAAAGAGAAAGAAAAGAAAAAAAAAGAAAAGAAAGAAAGAAAGAAAGAAAGAAAGAAAGAAAGAAAGAAAGAAAGAAAGAAAGAAAGAAAGAAAGAAAGAAAGAAAAGGGAGGGAAGGAAAGGAAGGGAAGGGAGAAAGAGAGAGAAAGAAGGAAGGAAGGAAGGAAGGAAGGAAGGAAAAGAAAGAAAGAAAGGAAGAAAGGAAGGAAAGAGGGAGGAAAGGGAGGGAGGAAAGGTATCACAGAACACTGCTAAACTTGTATCAGGACTGCTTTGGAATGAATTTCTGAATCTGGTTAGAAGTGAGACCGGCAATGCTCTTAGGACCTCAGCAACTGTAGCTTTCTATGTGACTGTGTCTCTAACTTACAGACACTGTACAAAGAGTAAAAAGGATGGAATCATTTTTCTAAGTCATAGATGGTGACTCCTTTTCAGAAATCATGGGTGAAGTCAGATACCAATATATTATTTTATGTAGGATCCAATCCAAGCATTTCATTTTATTAAGTCAAGAATACAATCTAATTTCAACTACCCTGTACAACTATTGTGAATCCTAATGGAAAGTGTGTGCTTTCTTTGAAAACATAGAAGTAAATTCTGTTCAGGTATTTGAGGAGATTATTAAATTGTCAAACTAATCTAGCAATACCACTTTATTAGGGTCATCAACTGTTAAATAAGACTAGAATATTCTTGGCTGTAGGAGGAGCTTGACCAATTCCTGATAGACATTTGATTAGCTATTTTATATAAATGTTTGCCAAATTGTAATGCCATTTCATATTAAGCATTCATATATCGTGCAATTACGTATTATATTGACTATAGTTTAATTCCTGAGTAGTGTAAACATTCATGACTGATTAAGCTACTTTCCTTGATATTTTGGACCTAACATCACACAGTTGAATTTTCTTGATCAACTAAGAAGCAGAAATATGTGCACGTGAATCTAATGTCCTTGTTTTTGTTGTTTTCAGCTGCAGTATTGAAGTATGAGAACAATGTCATGAACATCAGGCAATTCAACTGTTCTCCACACCCATACTGGCTTCCAAATTTCATGGATGTTTTCACTTGGTCCCTGCCATTTGTTGGAGAAAAAGGTGTGTTGTGGAATCCTGCAGTGATATGGGAAGGAAGGGGAGGAGATGTGGACTATTTTACCATAAAACAGAGAAATACTTTGGCCTGACCAATAAAATTCACAAGCAACATGAGAGAAATGCTTTGAAACTATGTCACAGTGTATCCTGTTAATAAAATACAATGAGTGAAATAGAGGGAAACAAAAGCTATGAGAAATATTAGAATTTATGTGATCTCACTGGAATACTACAACTCTTTGAAAAATAACAGATATATAGTTATAACTGGTTTCAAGCTATAATGGCTACTTTTTCTCTTTTGTACCCTTTTATATTCATTCAAATGCTATTTTCTTTATTATAAACTACCTGTCACATTAAAAGGTTAAGATAGTTATTTTTTTTCTCACATTTGTGATGTTGATAATAATCACTGTATGATAATGACTTATGGCTATAATAATTGGAAAGACCATATATCCAACAACAAAAAATACTTCTTTACAAATATGGCGACCATTAGTGTGTTACAAGATGAGACGAATTTACATTTAAAAAGTTATTAACTATTAACTTGTGCAGTTTTTGAAAAAAATTGGTTTGCCTTCCTTTCCTTCCTTTCCTTCCTTCATTCCTTTCTTCCTTCCTTTATTACTTCCTTCTCCCCTTCCTTCCTTCCTTCCTTCCTTCCTTCCTTCCTTCCTTCCTCCGTTCCTTCCTTCCTTCCTTCTCCCTTTGTTTTGTTTTATATTCTGACCCAAACCTCAACAAAAGTTTCAAGAGAAGTCCTGCACTCACTGGGCTTAAACATTTAGTTCAGGAGGGTTAACCGGGGTAGACTGGGTCATAACTCAGGCATGATATGACACATCACCAGAGAAGGTAAATAGGCATCAGAATAAAGGTAAGAGTTTGCACATATTTCAGAACCCCCATAGGGAGGTTTTAGAGAAAAGCTAAAATATTTTTCAGCTGAAATATTTATTTTTTTAAATATGTTTTCATATTAATAAATATGTATGATATACTAATATAATATTTATTTTCTTATAATACATGTGGGGTTTTTTTCTCTAAATGCCCTAGCATGATTAAATCATGAAGTTATGATTTGTCAGTGAAGACCTTTTTCTTTTGGATACAAAATAAGTCAAAAGTAAATTGTAATAGTCTGATAAGTGTTCCCAGCACTACTCCATGTCGCCACTTTCCCACACTGATCAGAACACAGCATGTGTTACTGTTCTCTGTTGTCTTCCCTGGAAACGGAAGCAGTGTGAATCCTGACAACTACTGGGAGCCCTTTGAACACCCTTCAGCTGGGTTGTTTCCAGTAAATATTCAGATTTTGAGCATCTGTTATAAAAGAACCTATCAGTATATTTGCATACATAATCCACTTTTGATAATTAAATGGAAGCTGTGGATTAATATTGGCTACATTGATGTTTTACTCTTTATCATATCCACTCTAAAAGAACATTGGTTTTAAAAAGTAGCTCTTGAAGAAATAGTAGGCAAGTTTCTTTTCACCTTCATGACCAAACCCAACCTAATTTTAGAAATGGTTAAATGATATAGCATGCACCTTAGTGTAAAAGTAATGCGGTACTAATTTCTGTGACAACACTTTTATGCAATCTTATTGCAATAAATCTACTCAACTAAATGTCTTCTTAAACTTAAGCTTTATTTATAAAGGCTTTTTGAAAATAAAATTTAGGGGTGCCTGGGTGGCTCAGTCGGTTAAGTGTCCAACTTCAGCTCAGGTCATGATCTCACTGTTCGTGGGTTTGAGCCCTGCGTTGGACTCTGTGCTGACAGCTCAGAGCCTGGAGCCTGCGCTCCAGAAATAAATAAAAACATTTAAAAATTTTTAAAAAAGAAAAAATTTAAAGCTAGTATCCTCAAAACTACTTCAAATATATCAACAATTTTTTATCAGACAAAACCACATGCCCATCACTGTGCTGGGTTCTCTGGGGGCATTAAAAGAATTTAAAAAAAGAGAGAGAGAGAGAGAGAGATTTAGCATTCACTTAGTCCCTGCAAAACAGATGGTTGCAATGTGGTCTAGATCTAATAGCATCATTGTACAAACAAATAAAAATTCAAAAGTAACCATTTCCTCCTTCATAGATGTATAGTATATTCACAACCACATATTTGATTTGTGCATTGTCTGTTGACCTATAACTAGTTAAATGTTACCATACCATTTCATAGGCATGAGATAATACTTTTATATACAGAAAGTCTGTAGAATCACCAAGCTGGTTATCTTTTACGATCAGGATTTTATAAAAAGTGCTTTGCAGGAGATTCTATATACAGTAGAGGTAAGAAATGCTAAGCTTGCTCGTTAATAATGCCAGAGTAATAATTAAGGTTATAATTGAAAATCTGGACTTTTAAATTTTTATTCTTTTCCTTTTTAGTGACTGAAATGCTGGTAAATGTCCTCAACATCTGCTCAGATGATGAACTAGGGTCAGAAGAAGATGGATTTGATGGTAAGAGGCTTGAGTTTTTGTACCAATGCTATTTGCCAGGTAATGATTACTTGGTGTCTCAGAGGGAACCCAAGGAATATGTTTCTAAGATTTCTAAGATTTTGATTATGTTAAATTATAACATACAGTTGAGAATGGAAGATATTATATTTTCTGTTTGCTTTGAAGAAATACACACACACACACACACACACACACACACACACACACCATGAGAGAAATTTTCCATGACTCTGAAAACTTTGTTGAATAGTGAGCTGTTTTAATGACCATCTTTCCATAGCTCACATTGCTAAGTGACTTTTTTCACTCCTTAATAAAAATTTTTTTAAAAAAGTAATCCTTTAGCAGACATTTCCATTTAATGAGTAGCTTCTAAAAGTGCCTTTAATGAAGTTGTTCCTGTCAGTTATACAAATTTTGATGTTTATGATAAAAAATATATTTACACATTAATAGGTTGGTATTCATGTTAATACAAATAATTTTTCACATCTATAATAAGTAATGAATAAGCTATGTGCCTTTTGTATTATTGTTTAAGATACTGTTGGGTATTCAATTACCCTTGAAGAGTATACTTTCTCTACAAGAAACAAAGATCAGGAGTGCTTGGGTGGCTCAGTAGGATGAGCATCCAACTTCAGCTCAGATCATGATCTTGTGGTTTGTGGGTTCAAGCCCCACATCAGGCTCTATGCTGAAAGCCCAGAGTCTGGAGCCTCCTTCGGATTCTGTGTTTCCCTCTCTTTCTTCCCCTGTCCCATTTTCTCTCTGTCTCTCTCACTCAGAAATAAACATTTAAAAAAAGAAGAAGAAAAGAAACAAAGATCCATCAGGTGAAAGATGGAGAGAAAAAAGTCACTGTAGATCTTACAGTAGTACCCCAAAATGAATGGAAATTAACAAAAATGCAGTTGGAGAGGAAAGTGCGAGAGGAAACCACTTCCATAAACATGGAATAAATACCTAGTCTGTGTAGGACACTCAGGATTCCAAGATAGAAGAGAGACCTGTGGCTTCGTAGTCCCAGTGTGATAGAGAGGCTGATGCATAAACAAATAGTATCTATAGGATGAGACAGAGTATAAAATGAAGAGTGAAGGTGGTGGCAGAAACTAGATATCGTGGAAGTTTACATTGATGGCATGTTTACCTTTAAAAATTGCATTTAAGTCAAATGAAAGGTGAATGTGGCCCTTTCTGAAAGTTAGAAGCTAAACAACATGACTTAATGTTTACTTGGATTAATGCAGGTCACATCTACAAATGCAAAATACCTAATGTTGCAGGCAAAAATAAAATAAAAGTATTCATACACTCATATGGATAGAGTCTATATATTTAGATAAATGTGAAGTGTACAATTGTTCCTATCATCTCATAGTTTTTCTCCCCTCTATAACTTATCCGATCTTCATTGCTTGTTTGTCTCCATATAGTTTTCTTCAGTCGTATGTCATATTTCAAGGGCATCTATAATATAAGGAAGGAGAGAAAATTATATATATAGAATAGAATATAAAATATATTGTATAACATATGCCTAAACTTCTACTATGTTAGAATTAGTTAAAGAATAGCTGTAAGAACTTACTTCAGTAAATATATTGATATATTTTTAAATATCCAGGAATTCAATGGATATTTTTTGCTTTTTCCAGATTCTAGATGCTTCATATGTTATAGCCACAGTTTGCTACTATTAACTCTTCCAGAGTTAGTGATATCATTTAAGAGATAATATTTTCATCATGACAGAGACTTTTTTTCTAAAGGAAGAATACCTCTGGGGGTATCTTAAAAATCAACAAACATTTTACAACAGCTGTCTTTATGTTCCTTTTATTCCTCAAGAGAAAGATTAATTAACATTAATAAGGTGATATGCCTTTGTTAACAAATCTCCATTGTAGTCAAGTTCATTGGCCAATAATTATAGACAATATAATAAAAGTATAATATACAGAATAGGTAGACCTGCATAGGTTTATAATTATATATTAATGCATTCACTCAACATACCTATATTGAGCACCTACTATGCACCAGGTATTGTAGCCAAAATGCCTGTACATTTCAACAGTACGTGTGTTTCCTTAACAGCTAACCATTACCAAGACTAACTCACTAGTGTTTACTTCACTAACGGTGAGTTCTCTTTACCCACCATCTCAGTCTCTTACATGAAAGGATATATTTTGTGGCTTACTCTGCTTTTAAAATAATTTCTTCCACTCATCAGTCTCTTACTCATCAGAATTTGTTTTTAATCATGTTAATTCCAGTTATAGGAGGGCATGTCTTTTTTCAAGGCATTTAGAAATTTTTGTTTGTTTGTTTTTAAGCAGACCACTGAAATCTGACTCTAGTATGCTTAAATCTAAAGAAATAAAAACATTAATTAAAAGTATGTTTGGGGTACCGGGATGGCTCAGTTGGTTAAGCATCCAACTCTTGGTTTCTGGCTTAAGTCATGATCTTATGGCTCGTGGAATCGAGCCCCCTGTCAGGCTCTGAACTGACAGCACAGAGCCTGCTTGGCATTCTCTGTCTCCCCCTCTCTCTCTCTGCTTTTCTCCTTCTCGATCTCTCTCTCTCTCTCTTCCTCTCAAAATAAATAAACATTTTTGTAAAAGGTATGTTTAACTTAGGACATATATATGTGTATATACACATATATATATGTATATATATATATTGAAGTAAACAATCAGAAATGTTCTTTATTGCTTACTGTAACATGATGCAAAGGCTATGAATTTCTTCAGAGGTGCTCAGAAACAACTTATAAAAGTTTCCAGAACTCTTTGACTCTCTGAGACTACAGTTTATTGAGAATGTACATTGAAATTTATATTTTTTTGGAGTGATGGGGGCACTATTATTTTCAACGTCAGGATAAAGTTTCTAATTCTTCTCAGCCCCTCCTGCATGTGGCCTGCAGTCTGTCTCTCTCTGGAGCCTGGCCCTCTGCTCTACCTACCAGCCTCCTAAGCTTGTTGGCTACAGAGATTGGGAAAGCAGGAATCAGAAGCCATCAAAGAACTTACCTGAACCTCTTCCTTATAATGGCTGCTTATTCTAAGGGTGGGGGATGGAGGCATATGGAATCTCTCCATGAATTATTTATTAAGTTGTTAATATTTTGTTCCATATGCAACATCAACTGAAAAGTCACAGGTAGTAATGATACCTCCACAATCCATGACTATCTTTTTACTTTCTTGGGTCGACCTCTTAGTGTCTATAAAGTCTATAGCAGATAGGGACTCTTCTCATTTCCTAGAGGAATGAAAGGTATGGGATTGATTCTGTTTTTCCTTCAGATTCTCTCAGCTCCTCTTTACTATTTATGTCTCAGACATTATTCCAAACCCTTTACAGGTATTAACTCTTCACTGAAGTTTACCCTTTGGACCAACAGAAAATTGTAATTATTAACTGTCATTCAATTCTTAATTATCACATATATGTTTACTAGGTGATTAATACTATCTCCACCTCAGAACAGTCTATGGATGTAGGTGCTAGGATTATCCTTGTTTTATGTATGAATGCTGGATACTGGATGAGGTGAGGTTAAAGCTGAAGGTCACAAAGCTAATGAAGTAACAGAGCCTGGATTCAAACTAATAATGTGTGCCTTGTCCTCATACTCTTGAACTTTCTACAACCTGTGATTACAACACTTGAAATCTTTTTCTTTGAAACAGCATTATGCCTTTTGTTTTTGTTGTTAACAAAACAGCACTTAAACAGAATATAGTTTGTTCTCTGTAAATATACTGCAAAATGAAGGAGATTTTTTTTTTTTGCACTATTTGGCCATGAGAGTCAAATAAACTGCACATAAAACAGTTTTGCTCTATTCCTTTTATCTTAGTTTACCCCCAAGAAGTTATGTCATGTTAAAAATGTTGGTGTATCAGAGCAGGCAGTAAATCCTCTGGTTCTAGTTTTTCTGAGTAGAAATCATGTCCTGAATCTCTCCTCCTTAGCTTCTGCCCTACAAATAAAGGAATTTGATACTCTATCCAGAACAAAGTTGCTATTTTAAATTGGTCTCAGGCTCTTTTATGATGAAAATAAAATACAAAATTTCTATTATCTGATAAAGTTTTGAAACAGTCTAATACCAATGAATGTCTTTTGAGGATCTAATTTATATGTATTGGGGTCTTTGTTTCCTGTTTCTACTTCTGATTTGGGATGATAAAAATTATAGGCTGGTTTCAATTTGGGGTTGTTATTCACCAGCACATTTTACAGAAGAAAGAAATCCAAGTAGACAGATTTTATTTGTAGTTAACTCTCATTAATGAAGAAGACTCACTTCAGACCATGGATTAGTAAGTGACCCCAAAATGGGGGGAAAGGCTGACAGAAATCAAGCAATCTGCATCATTTCAGAGGTTTCTTTATTATTCATTATGACAACAAGGACATCTGGAATAGTGATAAGCATTAGAAGCCTAATGACAGTTTCATGAGTTAGAAATATTTATTTATTTGGAACTTTCTTTTAGGTCCTAAAATCTTAGACTCTGAGATCACACATATATATGTGTATGTGTGTATACATGTATACATGCACATAGACACAAAGTATGTTTGAAACTATGATAATCTGGCTAACAAGGAAAAATCGTGAAGGTGAAACTGAAATCCTGTAGAATCAGGAGGGAAAGAAAAATAATAATAAAACTAAGACATTTCAAGCCAAATATAGTTTTAGGCTGCACTGGAAAGACTTAATATTAAATTAGAATTTATGTCTCTGCTTTCATCTAAAGAGCAAACCACATGGTGAAACTCTTATCCTTTATCCACATTTTTGCCTTATCCTAATGTTAACCACAGGCCAGTCACTGAATATGGGATCAGAGAAGTTTTTTGCATGCCTCTACAAAACCATCTAAATTGTATACAACAAAATTATCTCCCATCATCTGCTTTGAATTATTAGATAATTCTTGATATCTAATATCATGAGTTCC